AATTGATTGTCAACGACAGACTTGCGGATTTTAATCTCTTCCTATAAAATTGTGTTTACGCTGTGATGAATACATATAGACACATTTATTTTTTACGAATAAGGAGGTTATTTGTATGAATCGATAAAATATTCAGATTTATCACAATATGTTTTTACATTTTGCAAGACATTTTCAAACCTTTGTTTGCCTGTAGGTGATTTTGCGGACATATGATAAAACATGCACTATACATAATGTATCCACGGAAAGGTGGGTTTCTAGAAAAGTCGTCTGACCTTAAAAAATTCCACGGCGTTATTCCGCAGTTATTGGTTATATTGTAATTTTTAATAATAACATTTACTTTAATACAAAACAATAATCGCACTAAATCGGTCACAAGACATTTACAAAATCAAAGACGAATGTCAATAGCTACAAAATGTCACAAAAAGCTTCTAAATCATGTATCAATGCGTCGAATGATTGATTAATTAAATTAAATCTCAAATAGTTGCCCAATTTTTTTCTTTCTACACCAGTCTGATAATCTACTTTTATAATGTATGCTTAAGTTCTCAAAGTAATTAATAGAATACATTTATAAAATACATGGACCATTTATGTGATTATCTAAGTTTTTGAAAGTTTAATGAAGACTTCATTATAACATAATGTATCTTCAATGCAGTGCAACCTTTATGTAACAAGACGGAACGGTAACGGAACGGGAACGGACGGAACGGAACGGGAACAAGTAAATATTCGTTAATCAAGTAATTCGTTGAACTGTTTTTTATTTTGAGGTTAGGTTGGTCTAAATTTCATTATAAAGAGGTAAAAAACAACAATGATTGTTTTACGAACAAAAGCGTGTCGAAACCTGTCGAGACATGAATCACATTCTATGAGATAAAGAGTAATACACTGGTGGGAACTATATACAGAGATTTTGGGTTGACAAAATTAGTTAATTAGAGGTATTTATACTATTTCTTGATAGTTGAAAATTCGTTATAAAGAGTTTGTTCGTAAAAAAAATTGAGTAATGTAAAGGGATATTTTACATTGACTCTTATGGAGAATTCAAGGGGATTACGAAAAATTTGTTATATCGAGGAAGTCGTTATATTAAGGTTGCACTGTATTTCTAAAAACATATCGTTGTAACTCTTCATTTAAAAAGTAAAAGTATATATCGACAAATATAATATTTGCCTTTTACGAAAGTTCATACGGATTTAAGGTCAGATGAGATCCCAAAACCGCTAAGTGTTTTCAAAATACTTTTCCTTAAAAACAAATATTGACACACCTGTTTCGTAATTGGATTTTTTATGAGTTTACAAAATATATCGCGCAAGAAGCGGTTGTGGTGTAATTACACAATAGGTATTTACCACCACCGTTGTATACAAACGAAGCATTCTTTGATATATTTAAAAATCGAAAGACAATTTATACATACATAAGTAAGCTTAATTTGGTAGCTATAGATAATAGTAAAAGTAAAAGACATCTGTTGTATGTAATTGTGATTATATCTGATTGAATCAATCACAACAAATATTGAATGACGTATGCATTTATGCAAAAACACTATAACTTGATAAATTTGGGCGGCTCAGTTTTATTAAGTCTGTTACAGAATTCGAAAACCGGCGAAAAAAAAAAATGTTTCCGGGTTTTAAAGAACAATTTAATTGTATCTAGTATTTATCGATTGGATATTAAATTGCAGTTTCATCCAAGCGTTGCTTATTAATTCGTCATACGATACTTTAATTTGATTCTTGATAAAAAATCTATCTATTAAATATCTTTATTTTTATAGTTTGATTTTGCGTAGTATTTATCTGGTACGTAAAAGGTTTTTGGTAAAACCTGAATAAGGGTTTTAATGCATCACATATTTATTTATTTTTATCTAAGTGAGTTATCTATAGCAGGATATTTCAAAATAACTCGGGAATACCACGGGCAACACTGTTGGGAATTCCCATGAGTCATTTTGTTTCTTAATCAGTTATTAATAAATGCTTTGAAATATTGTTTTTTATATCATTGATCGATTTTTAGTTTCTCCATATTATTACAATTGTTTTATAAAGATATAGGCAACAATTGAAATATCACGTACATACAATAAATATTTTTCCTACGTGCTTCGATTTTTCTATTTGTTGCTAAATGTTTGTGACTACCACAAATATACCTATAAATAACTTTACATTAAAAACGTTTAAGATCGCAGGCTCGCGTGACCTTTTAAACTCTTATAAAACGAAATTGGTATTCTAAAAACCCCGGAACCACGCGATGCGCAGTTTACATGCAAACAATAACTTCTACTTACTATATAAAAGACTAATCTAAATCTATAATTTTGTAATACAAACTTAATATTTCGAAGGGTGAGGGCTTCGTTAAGACATCTGGAAGGCTCGATTTAGATATTGCTTTGTCAGCTGTCAATTTTCGAACATTTCATAGATTAGAGAATTAGGTCACATGTAGTCTAGCCATTGATCCTAACCTACCTACCTCACAACGTACTCTGCGGTAGCCGAACATAATTAACGTATAGCTTTGTCGTTGGTACAAGTAATTTATATATTTATTCAATATATTTATTTATTATCGTAACAATAAAATTGATTATTTTTATAGGTTAAGTGATAATTACGTTATTAATTAACGAAACTTTAACAAGTTGTATTTACATACCTACTTGCAACATAGCATCTGAAACTAATATCTATTAGCTTCGAGTAAATACCTTTAGTATCTACTCACAGGTAATGCGATGTTAATTATTCTAAATACACTATTTACACAAGCATAACAACTTAAGATAAGCCAAATTATCACAATTGTTATGAACAATTTGTCGAAGCGCATAATTATATGGACTGTAAAAAAGTTGATAAACAATGCACATGGAATTCTAAACCTCATCCTTCATGGTGGGGGTGGAACTTTATACATTGGTTGTACTTATCATGGGGTAGAGGTGGCCACTTCGACAAGACTATACACCATCCTAACCCGAAAAGCATCAAATATTACCCCTTACTAAAAAGGCCCGTAGGAGGCCCCGACATGTTCTAACAGATCCGGATAACCCAAACACCGTAGCCAATGACAAATTAAAAGCCGCCCGCGTGGCAAAGCATAATAAAAATCTGATTCGGGTAAAGAACCGCCTTCCCGGTGAAGGTAAGGCGGAGTAAGGACCCCGGGGTAATAAAGGTATTACGTTCTTCACTACGCCACTTAAGCCGAGGTCCGAGTCTCGCAGGAGTGGCACTTGCGCTAGTAGCGGGAAAAGCCCATTCCAATCGAGCTACGCTCGCCAAAACAGCACTAGCTTAGCTGTCAAGGCCCTTCAGGTAAACAAAAAAGAGGCAGACGTGTTTCCTTTGATTACATTGATAATATTTCTTATAAGCAAGGAGGTTGGCCTTTACCTGATACATTTCGATTCTTACGTCTCGGTGTTTTCACTGTTTATTCCCATACATTATTTTTTTATATAGAAAGAAAACTCCATTGGTCGACGGAATGGAACGCACAGCCTCATGATTGCACTCGACTGAAAATCGCGATGATACCAAAATACACCAATTATTCACCGCGAAACATATGACTACTATTTTTTGTTTAGCATTTAGTACTAAGCATTGTAGTGCCTTGAGCTCGTGCGTTCGAATCACGGCACCGATGAACTTTTCTTTCTATGTGGGCAATAAACACACGCTGGTGAAGGATAACATAATGAGGGTTCCTCAATCCGTCATCAATAAATACAAAGAGATGTATGATGCTCTTTCGTATAAAGCAACAATATTTGTTTGATAAATTATATGAAAGTATTATAATACGGAAGATTGCGTCCAATTTGTTATTCAAATTGTTAACCTTACGTTTAATGTATCTAGATATGTTGGTCTAGTTTAGAACTTGAATATTTTATGGTAATTAAGTAAATATAAATATTAATTGTTGTGGTGGTGTAGTGGTTAGCATGTGGCGTATAACTTAGTGAGTGATACGGCACTGGTTTGGATTCCCAATGGGAATGTTTTCCACATATTATGTCTCATTGAGGAATGTATAGGTAAAAACAGTATTTGTAGTAATTAGTCATTCGAGAACCACGTATGTATCAAACACAATAAACACAAAGGGTTATTTTTTAAATTTTATGTAAGCATGTTAAGTAAATTTAAAAGTAATTCAGGGCGACATGGCTTAAACTTAATATATAAACAGAAAAAACATTAAAATTCTTTTGATAACGCCTCCGTTGTAATAAAACAATTGAAAACAAAAATAACAGTACAGCAAAACCACCTGTTGACACTCGCTATTGTGGTTAATAATCTGTGCAAAGTGTGTTTCATGCCTCGATAAGCATTATAATTATAAAACTTAAACAGTACTATTAAAAACAATTGACAGTAGTATTATATAACCATAGAATAAACGAAATGAATTTTATATATTCTATGATTTATGCGAAATCTCTTTATAATAATAATAATTTATTTATTGCAAGAATATGGTACAAAAATGTGTAAGGTGGTACAATCGTAAGTCGCATATTCTGCCACACACAATGGCGCGCAAATTTGTCTTAAGGAATTTTACATTATTTGTCAAAGTCAATTCTTATATTATTTGTATCATATCATACTTTATTAAATTTATATCAATTACAGTGTCTCACGCAAATAATCATTTATTTAACAATCGATGTTTGGTTTCTATTTTCAAAATATCGTCTATGATCGGTACAGTGTAGGTACAAATATTTATGTGATAACTTTAAGGTAAAATTAATAACACGTTCTGTCTATGACATCAGATAAAATTTCTAAAGATTGATTGTTTCAACTTCAATCCCGAAAAATTTATTGTTTCACCAAAAATCAAATTGTAAACTATTCTACGAAAGCTTTTTAAACAAAACGTCTGTAATAAACCCAGTTTTAATAAGTTGTATTGTTTTTAGAATGATACCCCGGCGAAAACATAATGCTTCCTCAGGATCGCTCCCACCACCAGATGACAAGCACGCCAGCAATGATTATATACGTAAGTATCATAAGATTATCTAAAACCCAGTAATTCTATTGTATGCATTTGTCATAAGTACGTAGTTTTACTATATGAATTTGAATAGGATGAGAATGTAACACGAAACTATGGCGATTTCCGTTTGATTGTGATTGGTCAAAAGTATCTTAGGACTATCACAGACACGAGATGTCTCTCCCATTCTACAGATACAATCTAACTTACAATTAAGGGCTTTTGCTTATCCTCACAACCACGACATGTGCCTGTGTCAGGAGGATATGCAACAAATTCTAGTCAATAAGTAATAACTATTTTTTTTCTCTACTATTTTTCTTTCGTATGCGACATGCTTCTGCAAAAATAGGAAAAAAATCGGATTCTTAAAAAATCTATACTCCATTTCACTATTCGTTAGTGTTTGTTCACTCCCTCAGAGTAAAGTCACACAATATTTATGTCGTTTTAGTAGGTTTCTACAAGATATTTTCAACCAAACGGGTTCTAAAGCCCAATATAATGCTTGTAAACTCACAAGGTTTCTCTCAAATAATATTCGAATCATTAACTCGATGAAAGTGGCCGTTGAAGCCTGAAGCAGTTTTTTCTATGTACTATCAGCGAAAGGTATCCTAGCTAGTCACCGGTATTACTTAAACTTCTATATATAACGAGTTTTTCTTGCTTTTTTTGATTGCTTCAACAAAATGTTTTTTTAAAGGTTTGTTTAATTATAAGCCAAATAAGATATGAAAGTTAAGATTTGATTTATCATGTAAAAACCCAAAGCTGCGGTTTTTAATATATTTCCTTTACTACTTTGAATTCTTGTGTATTGCGTTATAAGGCGTATTTAACAGTGCAAAATTTATGTTGTATTTCAACATTGTAGGCTTACCTAGACGACGACTCTTTCACATTTGTGTTATGTTGAAGTTTCTCGTGTGGAGATTGAACAATGAAGCCAGGGTAATTTCTATTATTAAGTATTTGTTGTTATTGAGAGGTGACTAAAATCGAAAAAGGTCTTATTACTGTAATTTATCCAGAGCGCTACTAGTGAGGACCCACATTTCGGAAACTGATTATATACATATTTTGGTTTTACGGGTCTAAGAAATCTCAAATTCCTCACGATTTTTAGCTTTATGAACAGAACCGTTAATTGTGCGCAAAAAAATGCACTGGTGCCGCGATTAGGATACGTGCGCGTCCGCGACTAAGTCCAGTCAGTTCAATAAGACATATTCCCGCCCTTATAAATTTGTTAACTAATAATGTTAACCTATATCAAAGGGGCTAAGGGTAAGAGTCAGAATCGCACAAGCCAATACATTTTTGACACACAGCCCTGCGATTCTGTAACTCACTTTTCGAATTCACTCAGCGGTTTTCGCATCGGCGGTCGCTCTGAAATCAGTCGTGACGCAGTCATTTTATGATTTGGCATTCTAATAAACAATAAACTACAAGCTTCCACCTTTTCAGAATGCCAAATCATAAAATGACTGCTTCACGACTGATTTGAGAGCGACCGGCGATCCGAAAACCGCTGTGTTAATGAAAATTTTATGCAAAATAATTTATTGAAATCTCAAATGACGAATTGTAAATTAAAATGCCACGTGTTTTTATTATCGAAGAAATAAATTTTAAAAAAATATTATTAATTTTCGACACGTCTTTATCTATGTCATTTTAAGTTATCACTTATAATACCACAAGCAAAAATGCGGTTTTTTCCCGAGGGTAGCTCCCAAATAATTCGGTATTTTCCGCAAGGTTCCGTTGCAAACAAATGAAGGAGTCAAGGTTTTCAGGTTAAAAAATCAAAATTTTTTAACCTGAAAAACTTGACGACTTTATTTGCTTGCAGGGAACCTTGGGGGGAAATGCCAGATAATTTGAAGCTCGTGGAATTCGGGGATTATTTTTCCGACCCAAATGTCGGCCAATAGAATTGCACCATGAGACGAAATGTACAGTTAACAAATAAGAATTTCATAATGAATAAAACAACTACTTAATACTTTTCTTGAAGCAACTACCAGAGAAAATTTTCAAAAAATTATCAGTATAATACCATGTAGGTTGTACCACGTGACGTCGAATGGTGCAATTCTATTGGTCGATATTTGGGTCGGAAAAATAATCTATAATATATGTCATTAAGGACAGTTAAATTCAATTAATTTCTAACATATCTTCCTTTTTCCCTTCCTCTGAGTCTCGGAAATCTAAAGTTTTAGATTTGTATAAATATGAACAAGACTTAAAAATTAGTTTGCCAAAGAAGTTTCACTTCTGACATGTAGTACTTTGTACGCACGCACTTTTTATTATTATCGTCACAACTGTAAATATTTTTTAAGTGTCCCACTCCTGGTGGTTGATAATATCACAATGTAATTTAAAATGTAAGTGGTTTGTTTATCATATAGGTCCTTGACAGAAAATAATGTATCATCTATTAGAACTGATCATAAAGATGATAAAATCATTTATGATTTTCTGGTAAACTACCATGTAATTTTACTACGTAATAGATCGTTTGGCAGCAGCAGTGTTGGCCAAGTGGCTTTAGCGTGCGACTCTCATCCCTGATGTTGTAGGTTCGATCCCCAGCTGTGCACCAATGGACTTTCTGTCTATCTGCATTTAGTACTTGCTCGTAAATTGTGAGGAAACCTGTATACCTTAGACCCAAAAAGCCGACACCGTGTGTTAGGTTAGTGCAAAGCTGTAAATGTGTATTAAAAGGTAACAGATATCTCTTTTGACAAAAAGGTCAAGGCTTATTACCAAAATTATCGAATATACTCGCTGATACATATTTACGACATTTACATTTTCCTTGTCATTAATGTATATGCCCACTTCAACACATGAGATAAAGTTCCTGTTCATTTTCAGTGTCAGACAGTAGCAAGGAAGGCTGGCGTGCCATCATCAAACGAAGGCTCAACCGCAAGACACTGCACAAGAGGATCCCTGTTACGTCTTGGTTACCAAAGTAAGGAAGGGTCATATTAATCTAATATATAAAATTCTCGTGTCGCGGTGTTTGTAGTTAAACTCCTCCGAAACGGCTTGAGAGTCGGTCGGGGTCTTTTGATAATCGGTCTCATGAAATTTTGTGTGCATATTGGGTATGTCTGAGAATCGGACAACATCTATTTTTCATCCCCCTAAATGTTAAGGGTCCACCCCTAATTGTTTTTTTAATATTTAGATTTAAAATTTTTTTATAATACAGCATTAAAAAATACATACAACCCCTAATTTTCACCCCTCTACGATCAACCAACCTATTTTTTATTATAAATGATATACATGGCAAAACGACGTTTGCCGGATCAGCTAGTCATCATATATTAACGAATCAAAACAGAAGACACAATTTCTCCTTTGACTTCTAATGAGTCACCTAGAGTAAACACCTACGTTAGAGGTTATTGCAACTTCAAGTATCGTCATATCTGACACATTTTCTTCGCAAATTTACGCTTTAATATATTTATTTCTCAATACAACATTCACTTACTTGTGAAAATATACTAATACAAAAATACATTACGCTTATTAATAATAACATTTTTTTTAACCTAATAAACATAATTAAAATTAATAAAAAGAAAATGAAAACAAATTAAAGAGTTTGGTCCCAGCGGCAGCGTACCTTTAACGCTGGCAGCATTTTAAAGCTGTATTGCGATACTTATTCGTTGAGACAGGAAAGCACCAGCTCTGGGGTCACCCGTACTATCTACCAGGCGCCAACTTAAATCTTTAATAAGCGCCTTTGCACTTGAACCCCACGGCCCGAGACTCTCTACTCCAAAGGAACAAAATGGAAGTTGGAGGAAAGACATATTTGAGCCGTTTATTATTTTTTGTCTGCTCTGCGGCTGCCCAAATAAAAAAAATTCTTAAGTTATTAATTAATAGTAAAAAAGTACAACATCAGGCAAGAAACAGAAGACTTATTAGATAAAAATACAGAAATTACAATTTTTTAACAGTTACAACTCAAAAAAGAAAACAAAAACATTTATACAAAGATACAACATAATAATAATAAATAGAGGACATTTAACAAATAACACAAAAATTATACTTACTTACTATTAAAATAATTTTACAACAAACAGCTAACGGATTTAGCTGCTTGGTTAAAGATTTTAGATATTTTTAAGTGACCTAGAATCAGCACTCTAGTCTGTTGCCCTAAACGTTACTCTTAGACTGACTCATTGCAATGTTTTCACATCAAAAAATTGGAAATTCCATACATAATGATAACTCTATCGAAATACATGTTTACGTACTGCTGGTTTTTAATCTGCGACATTTCAAAGGTTTCGCAGTTAAAGCCTCAGATATATACGAGAACGTAACAGTGCTCATAAATTATATACAGCATATAAGTCTACTTCCATTCATTAATAATGAAGGAATGATAAGAGGTTAAAAGTTAATATTTGTGCGCAGAAATTAAATAAATTCTTAATATAAATTTCCTAGACATTTCCAAATTATTATTATTTTTAGGTCATCTCTGGCTGAACTGAGTATTTGTGTCTATTGAATTAGCCATTCTTTTTTCAGGTACAACACAGAAAAGGCCATCGGTGATCTTATAGCTGGTATTACTGTCGGTTTGACCGTCATCCCTCAATCGTTAGCCTATTCAAATATTGCGGGTTTACCGCCGCAGTATGGATTATACGGTTCCTTTCTCGGTTGCTTCATTTACATAATCCTCGGAGGATGCAGGGCAGTACCAGCTGGACCTACCGCTATCGCATCTCTACTGACCTGGCAAGTTGCTGGCGGAGTGATAGAAAAGGCGATATTACTGAACTTCCTAACTGGCCTCATTGAGTTGCTGATGGGAGTACTCGGTTTAGGGTTCCTAATTAACTTCGTATCAGGTCCTGTATCTTCAGGATTTACGTCGGCAGTAGCACTTATGATAGCGACATCACAAGTCAAAGATCTCTTTGCTATAACTGTGACTGGAACGACATTCTTGCAACAATGGATTTCGGTATTCAAGAATATACACAATGCATCGCTGTGGGATCCCATTCTTGGATTTAGCTGTATCGCCCTCCTCCTTTCAATGAGGGTAAGTAACTTTGCCTATTATAAGACAATCATATAAACTTGATTCAAGATAATTGTGATATTTTTCGTTTGTTACATGACCACTTATTAGTGCTTTGACTAGATTTTTTCACAATGAAAGAGTGAATTGAATTTACCTATGTTTTCAAAATGGGTTTTAAATTGATTTCAACATTAAAGCAATGTTGGCTTAACGCATTGGAAGCTCTTAACTAATAGACTAAGAAAATGTTAGTTCAAACCACTAACACTATTTTTACATTACATTTAGTAAGTGAAGTTATTCGGAAAAGGTAGAATAAAATCAGCAATTGTCTCCAACCCAAAAATCAAGCAGCACTTAAAAGCTGATCACCTACTTGTAAAATACTAAAAATTAATAATTCTATTAGAATATGCCTTATTAAAGAAGATACGAAGAAACGTGAATCTTAGAATACTTTTTTAACGACAGGATTTGAATCCTGGTAATATAAATAATAATTAAGTTTTGCTACATAGTTCACTACCAACTAAAGTTTAGCTCGTAACAACTTCATTTTATTTTAGAAAATTGGAATGATAAAACTTGGTGAGAAGTCTGCGGATGGACCGAGCACTAGACACAAAGCGTTGACAAAATGTATGTGGCTTTTGGGAACTTGTCGGAATGCGATTGTTGTTATTCTCACTGGAGTACTCGGCTACTGGTTTGTAACCACGAAGGGTTCATCTCCAGTTCGCTTAATGGGTATGTAAACAAGTTTTTATAAACATTATGGCTATGACTTTCTAAGAAACAATCAAGTTTCATATGTCACCTGCAAAAGAACAGACAACAAGAACTAATAATCTTGAAATATTTTTCCAACAGACGTATTTGTTGAAGTAACTTGATTTAAATAGTGTCTGAAATTAATGTTAATTTTTCCTTTACAAATACTGTGTTAAATATTTCGATAATTACATATTTAATTTAGGTCCTAATAACATGTTATTATTTTTGTACTTTAATGCGACAGTCGAAGGTGTACCGGGCGGTTAGTAAAATGAGATTAAATCAATCGTCATTCTATCATATCTTTTCTTTGTTTCATTAGAGTAGATCGGACGCACATTGGTACCTATTCATACTCTATCATTATAACACTTTCAAATTAATAATAAGCAAATATTGTATCAACATGGTAATAGCATATATTTGCAACAATATACATACTTGTTATTATTAAACTTTAATCATTAATATTATGTAGTTTAAAATTATTTGGAAATTTGAATACCTTCGATATGATGTTATTTAATAATTATTATGTATTTATCAGATCTTATTTCACTGGCTTTATGTTTTGACTAACGATGCCATCTCATTTTTATCTCTAGAAACCTGATCACTCATCACCACCTCTATGATTTTAGCATTCTTTAACTCCAATTTCACAGGCGCGATTCCCTCTGGAGTACCAGTGCCAACCGTCCCACCATTCACCTACGTTCGAGCTGACAATACCACTGCAGACTTCGTAGATATGGTCTCAGAACTTGGATCGGGTCTTCTTGTGATACCCTTAATAGTTTTACTGGAAGATATAGCGATCTGCAAGGCTTTTTCTGGAGGGAAGACAATTGATGCCACTCAGGAAATGATCGCGTTGGGTCTGATGAATCTTGGCAATTCCTTTATGCAAGCGTACCCGGGTGGAGGATCGCTGGCTCGGTCTGTGGTGTCCAATGGCTCGGGAGTTAAGACCACGTTCAACGGGTTGTATACTGGTAAGATTTTTTTATTTCTTAATACAATAACAATTATTTTTAATACGTTTTGTACGTTTCTAACCTACTTATCAACTTTAGATACTTTAAAGAATGTTTAATTTATTCTCAACGTTTTAGTAGTTTTATTATAGTACTTGAAAGCTTAAAAGACCTTGCAAAAATATGTGTTAGTATCAGAGTTAGTATAAATAAATTTTTTGGCACTTCATCAATTTGTAAATGTTTATAGCTTCAAGTTACAAAGGTACTTTAACATTAGCTTTTAAATATGAAATAACAAAAAACAAATAATTATTTAGACACTTAAATCGATAGGTACTCCTAAAACCTACACCCAGATTTAGATTTACGTGCTACTAATATATTATGCGCGACAGTTTCGTGGCTCGTGATTGGACCCGTTCGCAAATACTTCGGAGACGTTTTATGTGCGAGACACAAACATTGATTCAGGGTATAGATTATAGAACCATATTTCTTTTTATTTTATAACAAATGAAACAGTATTATGTTTATAAGTCAGAGGTTGGGCAAATAAGTGTATACACAATACAAAAACTGACGTACAGTTTTTAGTATCAATACGCTCGGTAACGGAAGATGCACACGATATCGTAGAATACCTAGCTGTTATTTTAAATCTACAGAGACGGTGTATTCTTCTCTTCATCTCAGTCACGAAAAGATAAGAAGGGCTTCTGCACCAGGAATAACATTTGCACCAGAAACAATCTCGCTGCTATGACAATCGCTATTTTATTTCACACATACGCTTAATTTATCTATAATTTTATTGACATTTGATACCGGCATCATATTTGCAGTGATTTAATTACCCTTCAAAATGTATCGATTTTGTCTAAGCTTAGGAGAAACTCAGCTATATAATTTTGGTGAAATATTCTTTCAATTGCAGGCAATCGTTTTAACAATGTTTATTTATCAGATTTGTTTCTTGCGAAGATAACGTGTACACACACGTGTACTAGATATCATATAAATAACCAATACGCGTAATAAGCATATTATTGAAATGCAATGAAATAAACTGTCAAATGTGAGATGTGGCGAAATGAAACATTTAGCTATGCACAACATTATCGCTTTTTATGGCTTACACAATACTTAATTAAGTTTCTGTTGTGGAATTTTATTGCGGTATGCAGCATGAAATAGTACCTTCTCCGATAAAACTGTTTTTGCTATATTTTTTTTTATCATAGTTTTTATAATTTCAATGTTCATTTAGCCAATATATATACATATATTCTTGGCTGTTATCCTGGTTCTCGGCTTAGAATAAGTTTTGTTTAGTTTAAGTTTTTTTAAGTTAAATTCTTTAAAACACGGTTTTCAAATGCTTCTTGATTATTTATTTTTCTTAATAGGTAAGTAGTTTATTAGTACTAAGGTATGTACTTGGATATCAGTTTCTTCACGATGTTTTGACATTGTCATTGTTTCCAGGTCTGATGGTGATACTAGCTCTACAGTTCTTTACACAGTACTTTGAATTTATCCCGAAGGCTGCACTGGCTGCAGTCATCATCTCTGCTATCCTGTTCATGGTGGAATATGACGTAATCAAACCCATGTGGAGAGCCAAAAGTGAGTATATTATTTTTATTGATGTAATGTTTACTATACCACTATACGCAAGATTTATTTATTTATTTTTAGATTGTTGCGTAATTTATTTAAATTAAAGAAGGTACCAGATAGAAGATGGTTTCTCCTTTAAGATTACTTGTTCAATTCAGAAAAAGAAAAAGGCTTTTTCTAATAGCAAAGACCTATAAAGACCTCTACAAAATAAACGCCACAGTGGCGCACCAAATTTTTTTTCTTTTCGTAAAAAGGAAAGTTTTCCCCGAAACCTACTGTTGTGTGGTAAGAAGAGTCGAAACTTAGCGCTAACTATGAATCCGTATGTCAAACACGAGGCCAAGAACCTTCAATGGTTCGCGTCACTCGATTTTCTTTAACGATATTTCTTTATACATTAATCACCTTATACTATAATGTATAGGTATTGAAATTATTATCCTCTCTCAGTGAACTTCGTCTACGTCTATTAAAATCTTTATGTTACTAACCCATTAACACACTATTAAGCAAAATATTTTCCACAAGCACGTACTTAACAAGAAAGTAATTACTTGTTTGACAGCGAATTACTTTGTTAGACGTTTGTAACCTACTTACCAAGTTTCGCGTGATGAATTAAGTTAATGTTGATAAAAAAACAAAGGTTTGTTACTAAATTACATGATAATGTTATAAGAGGTAAATTGGATATTTTGTTATAATTTTTAACAGCGGTTAATGCGATAATAGTATTATTATACTAAACTTCCTGTTATGTTCGGTCGCGAGAAAACATCCTGGTGGTGATGATAACATAAATGAAGTCTATTTTGAGGCTAAAGACAAATCGTACTATTTATAGTACCGTTGTATCGTAATGTGTAATGGTATCGTTATTGAATAATCAAATCAAATTCTATAAAAAAAAAAGATTTTTCTATGTTAGCCTACGAACTTATTACCACACACCACACATACCACAGCAATTCTTTCTGACGTAATTAAATAACAAACATGCATACACTAAGAATAATAATAATAAAAAATGACATCTATATTTTTAGACATTACATTCTTGAAACAAAAGGAAAATATGAATAAAAATATATTCATAAATTTTTTCACTAAAAGAATGATAAAATGTGTATTTTTTTAATACTAATACTATTTACGATTATTATACCTATATATAGCTGAACTACATGAAATCTCTATAGCACTTTATGCGGTTTACCACAGGAAAAACTAAGGGAAATTCAAATGTATGACGTAACCTGTGGTTACATTTTCATGATCTAGTGTATGTGTAACTTGAAAGATTGCTTTGTATTCCATTATAAAATCAATAGAATTTCTATTTTCACTATTTTGTATCAATTGTAATTATAGATAATAATAATAATTATTATTATTATGGAATCCATGAAGAGTCATCGGTAATAAAAGTCCATTGTGGAATACCAAAAACATAGTTCGAAACAACTACTTATGCGTACTACTTACTATAATTAAAAGACAAGACCTAATAGAGATAATATTTTATTTTACAAATTAAACACATATGAAGCAGTGTTGGCCTGTTACCATAATTTAAGAGAACAGTCAAACAAAATTGTTAAGAAAGGCAATAATGCGTAACCTAATTTATAATACAAAAAAAAATTAATGAAATATTAATACATATATATAAAGACAACTAATAACTTACAAAAACAGAAATAAAATAGAAAAAAGCAAATGTAACGATAAAAACATGATAATTAAAAAAATAAAACACGCCAAACAATAAACATACCTACTAAAAAATTAAATAAATAACATACAATTTTTATGTAAGATTTTCGCATTATGACGTGCCTTCAATATAAGTGCTAAATGTTCTATGGGAATAACACAAAATCACTTGTCATATATTATTTTCAGAGCTAGACTTGATACCTGGACTGACAACCTTCGTGCTGTGCCTGGCTTTACCAATTGAGATGGGAATCCTCACTGGTGTCGTGGTTAACATCGTATTTATTCTGTATCACGCAGCTAGACCGAAGTTTTCTGTTGAGATGCTTAAAGTGAGTATCTTTTTAAATATATTTCACGATATAAACTTGTTTTCCAACCGACCCCATACAAATATCTCGGCTCGATAAAATTTAAAAAAATTGTATAAGAAACGCAAATATCCTTATTTCCGCTTAAAATCAGGAAGCCAAAATACCAGAATTAAAAATACATGTTTTTCTGTTTCGACGCTAGCTTTATTATTATCCAATTTTTTTAATTGATCAAAAAATTTTCAAATAAAAATCAACCCTTAACAATCATAAATCGTTGGAAAACACTGATCTAAATACTCATATAAAAGTATTGAAGAGGAAACTGATTTTACCGCATACCGTGTATAAAAATAATATATAAAATTTGGTATTTATTCATGGTGGTTGCTTATGGAAATTTGAAACGCCACCTATGTCGACAGATACGACACGTGAGATTAACATTGCAGTGAAAAAGTATAGCCAATATTGTGTACTAACATGACGTATTTGTTTTTTTTTAGTTAAACAATTTATCAAGCATTATTTCGGTTAAATCAAACTCTTCAATAACTCCTTATTATTATGACATTGTGATTATTAATATGACATTTGTTTGCATATTTTTTATGTGCGGCTTTTATATTATTAATCAATCTGTAACACTTTCTTTGCAAATAAATGTTTTATTATTATTTATTAAGGTAGATTCATTAATGTCGTAAGTCGTGAATCTAAGCGTGTATGAAAAACAAATTGAATTTAGTTAATAACAGAAAAACAATAACTAACCTTAAAATATAATAACTAAAATATATTATTAAAAGGAGTCCCTTTAGGCAAGGTTCCGAAGATACTGGCAGCGTTCCCCCTTTGAATAGCTAGAATAAATCTTTGTCCGAGGTAGCTGCTAGCTCTTTGGATAAAGATTGTGATGTCGATTAACCTTTTTGCTATTTAACTGAATAATTAAGTTAAATAGCAAACTAATTAATTTAATTATGTTAATTTAATTTAACTTCCGCCATAACTTACAGAGGGTAAGAGAACTTAAAGATGTATCTTGAATCTGAATCTCTGAATTGCCTTTTAAATAAAATCTCTAGTATAAAATTAACCTCTACATTACAGTTTAGTTTTAAATATAACTAATATAACGAAAATACTATATACTATACAAGTATGCTTCTATATAGTAATTTACATTACAAAAGATACCTACATTGCAACACAATCTTTCCCCTTATCTAAAATTATGCAAAGCATTTATCCTCCTATGAGTAAGACAAATACGATAATATTTATTGTCTAAATAACTTAATCATTCGTCAGTAGAACAATGCCCAGCTTAAACTGTCGTAAACAATATTCAACTTTGCTTTTAAACAATTCCGTAATGCTTTTTTATGTTGTAAGATAAAACTAGCTCCATTGTAGCATAAAAACAAAAGTATAGGCATAATATTTTTTTAAATTTTCAGACGGAGCAAGGATTAGAGTATCTGATGATAACACCGGACCGCTGTCTCATGTTCCCTTCAGTTGATTATGTCCGACGTCTTGTAACCAAATGCGCGACCAGCAATTCTGTTCCTGTTGTCATAGAATGTACACACATCTACAGCGCCGACTACACGGCAGCAAAGAGCATAGAGCAGCTGACTGCGGACTTTCACGCGAGACAGCAACCGTTATACTTCTACAACGTAAAACCTTCAGTCTGCTCAATCTTTGAAGCCGTCGCGAAGCCAGAACATTTTGTTGTCTTCTATGAAGACGACGAATTAGACAGGCTTTTTGCAGCTGACAATAGAATCGCGCCCCAAAAACCGCCACCTCTAAGCGCTTAGTTGTGAAATAACAGACAATATTTTTGGAAGGAAATTAACGGTTTAGTGTGATATTTTGGATGGTATACTGTTTTGTAAATAGTTCTCATCTAATGTTTATCGGTGTGTAGACGTCGATGTAAAATAACCTTGTGGCTAAAGAACTTGACAGTTGAAGATTTAATAAGGTGCAAATTTATATATTTTCTTAAACGTTGAGGGTATTTTTGGACCACTTTATGATAAATTGGCGTCACAAAGGAATATTTTGTAATGAACGCGCAAATATACATAACTGCAAAACAAAAGGTAACGCGTCATTATTCTTTAGTCACAAGAACTATACCTAGATGCTCTATTTTAGTAATATAATGATAATGGAAGGTTTAAGGCTGTGCAGCTGTGATTGGGCGAGCTCGATCACATCCATCAGTATTATAAATCAATATGGATTAACAAATATGACGAAGGGACTTAGATTAAGCTTAACAAGATATCTTAATGTACATCAAGTTGCTTGAACTCTAAAAGTAGTACCTATTTTAGCTACCAATATATCTAATGATTACGTCCGCCTTTACTCAGTAATCGTTTGCTCATGGGTGTTTTAAATTTTTTTTTAATTGTAGATCAGAAAATAAAACATTTTTTTTAAGTAAATAAGGGTGACGATCACCGAATCATTTTTAAACTACGTTAAGTAAAATTTGGACTCGCATTTAATAAATTACAATTGCAACTTAATTGGATAACATAAATATAATTAATTTGTAAATAATTGTTTAGTTTACACGATACCGCGGCCTCGGTTTTAACTGAAATTAAGCTAAATAAAGCTTTCAAATTTTAGGTCATAGACTAACTTCTTAGAATAGACAAAGTTTATATAGAACCTAGAAAATCCCTTTAACACAGACTATTAAAAATAGAAAAATCCTAATATATTATTACTACTACATGTTAACAACCTAGTTTATTCTCTTTATTGACTTTTATCATCAATAACCAATAACAACATTAGCTTTTCTGTATTTTACTTTAAAGTCTATTTTTTAATATTGTATGAAAAATTATTCAGTATTTAGAAGTGATATTTTGGGAGCTATTACTTCTAACAGTTTAAAAAACCTGCACTATTTTCACTGTAAGTCAGTGTCTTTGACGTTTCTCAATTTTTTACTCAAACAACTTTTGGACACATTTATCTATGAAATACAAGTATTAGACCACAGATTATATCTAATTGCAAGCTAAAGTTTTATTTAAAAGCTCACAATGTTTTTTAACCTAGAGACTGTTAGGCTTTTTAAGTTTGCATAGTTTTATTTTTCTAATAAAATAAGATAGGACTAGCATCTATTGTTGTGATTGTAGGTTTTAATGATATTTAACACAGACGTACTTATGCCATTATCTAGGCCATGTCCCTATTTGAAAGTGATAAAAACAAAATTGTTTAAGTATTAGTTTATTTATTTTGTAAGTGTTTAGAGTACAATATAGTGTAGATGGAAAATATCAATATGTTAAGAACGACTGGTCCAGTGCGCCGTGTTATTTTTAATGTACACGGAGTGTGGCTACAATGAATAAAAGCATTCATGAGTGGGACATAAATATATCAATATTATGAGCCAAATTGAATCAACGCTAGACAATGAGGATAGGAGGACCTTGGAAATGCTCAATTAGGAACTTATTACACCACCGTGCAAAACGTTTAACTATCTTTGTCCTACTTGCATCAACATAAACGAAACGTATATAAAAGTGTTAATATGAAAATATTTTTGAACTATACATCATAATTTTTATAATTTAATATAAATTATTTACTGATGTTATAAAATCGTCTTATAATTAATTTTATTAACAAAAAATCACAAAAAATATTTTAACTTAAACGCCAATGCGTAGAATTTGTATCAGCTTTTAACTCTTTAAAACAAATTACAGATAAATATTTCAAGTCTACTTAAATAATTTTAAGATGATTAAACGCGTTAATATTTTAAATGTTAAATGATTCAGAATTATGTAAAGCTGTAAACAGGGAGAGCGGGAAATGTGACTTCTGCGTGAATCGGCCTTAATGTAATAAGAATATAAAATAGTTTTTAGTAAGGACTTATAACAGATACGACATTATATCCGATGTCTATTGTATTATATATGTGTAAAACCCATAGCGATTTCCTATAATTGTTTGAAATTGGAATAGCCAAAGTTTGATTCCAATAACCTAAACTCAATATAGTACTTGTATCAGTAGGATGATGTACCTTTAAATTGTGTAGTACAAAACCTGTATATTGAAATCGGAGTATTATTGCTATATTCGGAATAAGCTTTCTGTTTTTGATATAATTGATGTCCATCGCTTCAATTAAAAGATGTTTGTAGTAGGGCGAAATTCTCTATTTGAATGTGTTTGTACACAACATAATTCTTTACGTCACATTGATTCACAATATATAATGTTAAACCAAATTGAATATTTTAAATGCTTTATATAAAAAAAAATATATTAATGTTTAAAATTATGGTGCGTTTAAATAGAACTAATGTTTTCCCAGTTCCAAGAACAAAATAATTATAATTAAACTCTTTGAGAGTTAACTACGTTGTTTCATTTTATTAACTGTAGAACCTGATAAATAAGTTACTAGTTTTTGTATGGGCAAAAAACTTGAATGCTGGCCTTCGGGCTGATTCAGCCACAGCGGCTATTGAGACAGGCCATAAACAGGGCATATGCAGATAATGCACAATGCAGTACGTAGAAAGACAAGTGCACTCTATATTTCATAGCTCCGATGAGGCGCTTCTTGGCTCTAAGCATCGGCTTGAGGGTGGTCAAGCACAGACAACTTCCTAAAGCTGGCTCCAGACTCTCGCGAGGCACCTCTCCGATGCCTTCGCCACGAATATGGTCGAGTCGAGGCTGCACGAGCGGTGATCCACACTCTCGACTTATTTAGTGGCTCGCTACATCTACCACAAGAGGGACGCAATTGGAGAGACTGCGTTAGCTACTTTATCTGCCTACTAATATTATTATGTCTTGCATCACTCTTGTATTCACTTTGAATACAGGCCTGCTAGGTTGCTCCTATTTCAGCATGCCTCCTGCTGATAGACGACAAGTCTTTGTTTTTAATATATTTTATTATTTTTGATTAACTATTAATTACTTAAGACGTCATGTGGAACGTGGTGTAATGGTTGCAGCTCCTTACAAACATTGTGTAAAAAAAACCTTGGCGATTAAAAGGAGTGGCGGAGAGTTTATTGCTAGTTCTTCTCTTCCGTTCTACGCCCTTGATTTGAGAACAGGCAGTAAATGTGAAATTAGAAGCATTTATATATATTTATTTTTTGACGTTCATAAGTGTACATTGTGTTACCTACGTGAATAAATGATTTTTGAATTTTGAATTTACATTCTTAATGTGTCTAACTTTATCATAGCCAGAAATAATATATATATAGATTTCTCCTCTTTCTCCAGATTATTCCTCTAAGTTGTCTAAGACTTTGTGTTACCTATATGAACAAATGATTTTGATTTTGGACAAATACAAAACTACGACTCAAATTCAACCCAAAGTTAGCAATATATGGTAGAAGAGAATAAAACCTATAAAACATTGCACAGGTATCGGGTCAGTGGTCAGGGAAATTGAGGTCGTGTGCATATTGTTGACTGCCTTTTATGTGCAGCGGTTACAACAATATGAGAAACACTTTTAATTTTAATATTATTTTTCAATATGTGACCCATCGACCTAAGTTGTTTAGTATTTTAAAGAGAAACTAATGAATTACGCATCTATTAGGGCAACGAATCCGAATTGATATTGCCTTAATAGATTGGGAAAAAAAAGGAAAGGATCAGGCGATGGATGGATTATCTGCACACTAGTTTGTGTGGACTAGAGTTGCCGGGATAGAAATATTCTTTCATTTAATATATTACTATCAAGCGAATTCTTGAACGTATCTTATATATTTACTAAGTGTTCCTCAACTAATTTAGTTTGTTTATTGTTTTTTTTGTAGCCTGGATTAAAATGATTTTAGTTGTATCAATCAACCTAATTAATAGTTTATATGTGAAGACTTTTTATTGGCGTACAAAGTTAGTTATATAATTTAATTTAGTTATAAGCTGTAAATATTAATAATCAATAAAATAAAAAACCAACATTTAAAACCGTCATGCGATGTACCAATACGTTAAAAATATATTTTAATATATTCGTTGATTCTCTTATAGTTCGCATTTCATAACACAAGCTGCACCGTAAAAAGCAAATAAAACATCGTTAAGAAATCCAGACCGCCTTATCTAATGGTTAGGTTAGGGTTGTCGAAATGCATTATTATTTATACTTAGCTAAACAGTACTACAGCTGTGTTGGCCTAGTTCCTTCATCCCCTGCTGTACACTAATGTACTTTCTTTCTAAGTGCGCATTTAACATTAGCTCGAACTATGAAGGAGATCGTGAGGAATACGGCATGCCTTAGACCCAAAAATTCGACGTCGTGTGTCAGGCAGATAAGGCTTCACTTCACTTCACTTTATTTATAATGGCGACATCCAGATAAGACTGATCACCTTGCCTATTAGATTGACAAATGATCATGAAACAGATACAGAAATCTGAGACCCAGACCTAAAGATTTGTAGCGCCACTGATGTATTGTTTAAACAATAGTACATGTCCTTCAACAACAGCATAAGTTAGAAAGTTTTGACAAGGAATTAATCATGCCACTCATGCGTCTGTTTCATTCATCAAATCCCGAAAAAATTTAATTGCAAATCGGGATTCAAAATAAAAAAATAAAATATGTTTAGTATGGAACATAAGATACATGTATCACTTATTCCACGTCATTAAATTTGAATTTGAATTTCGTCGTGATGGCGTAGTCTCCAGAAAGCATATTACTAAAAATTAGATAAATTTTGAATTTTCATGTATACGAACTAACTTTCTGTCAAAAGCCATAAGTGGATAGTATTATCTACTAATTTAAGTTTTAATTTTTAGGAACATAGGTTATCCATTAGATAGCACTACAACAAATATGACTGCTGTATTAAAGTTCAGTTTAGAGACACCAAATAGGAAACTGTTTTCATGACTGAACACAACCCTATCTCGACACATATTATCGCTTTTATCAACGTAATTAAAGCTCGGAGAAAAGTTAAACAATAAGTTGCGACGTACTTTCTACACCTAGTATTAAGGTCACTATGTTAGGTTTGAATAGTGCACCTTTCGTCACAAGTCAATGACCGTTCACACATGACGTTAGCCGTGTGTCAGTTTTATCTACGAATAAAAATACGACAAACTCTTATAAATTAATTTCTGTAAGTTAAAGATTTCTGAATCTGCTTCATGACCATTTTTAAATCTAATAGGCAAGTAGGTGATCAGCCTCCAGTGCCTGACCCACGCCGTCGACTTTTTGGGTCTAAGACATGTCGGTTTCCTCACGATGTTTTCCTTCACCGTTTGAGCAAATGTTAAACGCGCAAAGAAAGTCCATTGGTGCACAGCCGGGGATCGAACCTACGACCTCAGGTATGAGAGTCGCACGCTGAAGCCACTAGGCCAACACTCGAGAATGGCTGGATTGATTTGACCAAGTTTGATCTTGAAATATTTGTGCAAGTTCAGGGAAGGTTTATTATAATAATAAGCCTTTATTCATCCACATCTTATTGATATAGATTTAACAAAAATAAATATAAATACAATTTCAACTACTCTAAAGATGCCCCTATCCGGGAGAAGGTCTCCTCCAAATTTTTCCATCCTAATTTATTTTGTGCCATCGTCAATCATTTTCTTCCAGCTACCCTTTCCATCCTGTCGGCCCATCGCTCTATTAGTCTTCCTTCCTTTTTCCTTTTGGATCTGTCCATTTTGTTACTGTTTTAGACCATCTATCATTCATCAGGTTTAAACGGGAAACGTAAATAAGTAAAGAAAAAAACTATAAGTAAAGAAAAATACTATAAACGATTTAATTTTCCAATAAAAACTGTTCCTGGCTGGGAAATATTTGATGTCTTTTGTCTTTTTAGAAATGAAAAATTGTCACTGGGTCACATATTTATAGATGACTTCTGAATTGTGTTTCATAGCTGTAGGTCCGAGGACCGAGGTCCGATCTCTTTGGTCTGTTTTAAAAATGTTGTATTAAGATGATACACACTTGTATGTTACGATACGATACGAAGTTCACGGGGTCTTCTTGTCTACTAATAAAAATACGAAAAAACTCTCTATAATTAACTATAAAAATAGTATTTGCGCGATTCGTTATAAGTTAAGCTATGATTCACGTTATAGTTTTTTTTATATCATTATATTGTTCAAGAATAAAACACCGAAGTAAAAGTATGACAACATCCAATATCTTTGAGTGGAGTCTCTTCGATTCAGTATTATCCATTTTCGGTAACATGAGAAGGTTTTGTGGAAAATGTGTCTCAAGATGACGTCATTGTGTTGTGATATGTGTGCGTATACAATGTGAGGTACGATAAATTATTTATAAGTACTTTATGCCTCAAAAAGAATAGTTTTGTCCTTATCACTCTTGTTTTACTTTAAAAATCAAAGAAGGAGAAAGGATATTATTCAAATAAATAAGATGTATACATTTAATAATGAGACCGTTAAAGTGGAGAAAATTGTACTCAATAACAACTTGTTAAAGACCTAAACCCAGTGCCGCTACAACCCTTGGGTTTGGCCTAATTTCTGTTTGGTGATATTTTTTCCTAATAGGTGCTTTCTTCTGTCTGAAACACGCCGTCAACTTTTTTGATCTAAGGCATACCGGTTTCCTCCCGAATTTTTCCTCCTCCATACGAGCGAGTTAACTGCGCATATAGACAGGAAAGTTTATTAATGGACAGCCGGGATTCAAACTTACGACTCTAGGGTTGAGAGTACGCTTAAGCTACTAGGCCAAAACTGCTCTACGTAATATTACAATATTTATTAATTAATTAAGAAACATATCAAATAAAAACCAAGTAACATAAATTATAAGGGATGCAACGGGCGCCCTTATCGCTAACAAGCTATCTATTTCAGGCAACCCTACTAAAAAGCAATAAACTAAAAAGCAATGCTAAGGGTAAAATATTTTTTTGTAATTGTAATTTTTCATTCGCCTATTTCTAGTTACACAATACTTACTAATAATAAAGACAGTTACTTTTATTAATTACTTTAATTGGTACATTCAATACCAATAATTGGTAATATCATATCAATATTACGGCTATAACCTGTAAATACCATAACCGCACCATTCGAAAATTGATTCTCTTCGCATAACAATAGCGAGAAGAATGTTTCAAAGTAGCTTTTAAATTCAATGTCATTTTTGTTGTATAACATTTTTTGTCAACTTTCAATGCATTCATTTGGACAATCATATCGGTTCAGGGCCACACCGGTGATCATCACATTTGCTTATTACACACGTGAAGTCTCCAGCCTGTGTCAGTGTGACCATTTGTTGTCAGACTACCGTAATTTCGGCAGATGTAGCTTTTTAAATAATAAATTGTTTTGATAGAATTATATATATATATTTAAGATTTTATAGAGAGATATTTCTATTTTGCAATCTACAAATAGGTAACCGATCAATTATAGTGGTAGATTATTTGTATTATAATTCTGTGTGTTCTCACATATTTTTCACAATAGTATTTATGAATTTAAAAAGATTATTTGCGGTGAAGACTTGCAACTTGAATAACTTCATTAAATTTAATATAGGTATGTATACTGTATGTAATACTAAATATTTAGTAAACCAGTACCGAAAATGTATAAATAAACTAAAGATTAGCTTTAAAACATATTATTTATTTCCTTAGCTATAAGCGCATTCTTTGAGTAATATTTGATAAATTATTTTTGCTAGATGGTCACCCGAACCGGTTCCTTCGCCAGTTCGCGCTTAAAACCTCCGTGGAGTGGCACGTTTTCCGCGCTTTCCAAAGATAATATAACAGTGTTCCCGCGTAAAGGTATTAATTTGTGGAGTGTTGTTAATCTGTTATTAGTTATAGTTCATGTTACTTTATACTGTTTTATTATATTTAACAACACGTGGATGTTTACACTGACTTATAAGTTACCTCATAAACCGCTTCCGTTCATTACAATTCCTACTTACTGACTTTAGGCGCGGCATTTTTCGTTGAAAAATTTACCAACTTATCTACTTAATCAACTTCCAAGTAGGTAATAAAAACTTGTATATGTTTATAATAAATTACGTCAACTAATTATATCGCGGATTTAAATACATATGTTCTTAAAAGATTAAATTAATTCAAAATTTACGCATTTTTCTAATAATAGAGACTTTTTGTCTAATATTTATATTATGTAACTAGCGGACTCTTGTCCTGCATGATATTTCAAGCGATTAGGATATTAAACAATGTATGAAAGTACCGACTGCAGCGCCATTTGCCGGGCTGATTTGTGAATCTAAACCATCCAGGGCGCCACACAAACGAATACCAAAAACTTTATTCAAATCGGTCCAGCCGTTTAAGAGGAATTCAGTGACATACAGTAGAATTATATACGTAAAGAAGTATAATTTTACAGATATTAAGATTACGATTAAGTTCACAGATTATTATATTTAAATAGCAAATATGACACAAACACAATTTACAATTAAGATACAATTTTGAATACCTTGTATATGCTCAGCTATCATACCAAAAAATACCAGGAGTAATTGCTACGAATCGTAAATTTTTCTTCAACTACGCGTTAAAAATCTATGTAATACTCGCGTACTTCTCTTGGGACAAAGACCGTTGGATATTTTTTATTTATTTCATGTCTAATAATGTAGATCGCTGAAATAATATAAAATATCACCATCTTTATAAAACTATTGTTACGTTGATTTTTAATTATAAAACAAACTTCAGACAATGTCAAGCTTTGATTTATCAATGTGTATGTACTGAGTTTTAATTCTGAGGAACAGATTAATAAACATATCATCATCATCATGATTCCTTATAATCGTTTGTTTTATATTCAGAATAAAATACATCTTCCGTATGTTTATAATTATTACATTTCAATTTCTGATCAACCTTTTTAAACTCTATTAAAGAGAGCACTTAGTAGGCACATTTCTGGTGTTTACTTAATAGACTGCGAAAAATGAACCAGCGTGGCAGTTATGCGTATTAATTAAAAATAAAGCGTTTAAAGTAACCAGCGTTACTTTCTCATGCTAATAGTAATGGTTCATGAAATTTTATATAATTCAAACGCTTCGTGCGATTCTTCACTCCGTATGTTATATATATATATAAGTTGTCAAACTATAATCAGGACCTAGTGTTGTCAACACAGTAAAAAATCTAATTGAGAACTCCAGCGACCCCATCCCTGGATGGTTCTCTTTCCGCACAGACTCAAATAAAACAGAACTGTCCTTTCCGAAAAAAAATATTGTCATGGGAATCATCAGGACTTCTGGTTATGTAACGATACAACATCTTTTAGTAATTGACAAATGATGGAACCTCCCCGTTTTTTTCGTTGAATGAGCGATAATTATTAGTACTAAAGTAACAACAAAAATACAAGTTATTAGCATAATTTGGTTTCAGAACAATGCGGTGGTATATATTCAGTGCATTAGCACTGATTAGTGTCGTATGCGGCCAAGAAATTCCGGAGACATGCCTGTCTGTTGACCCGGAGCCATACCTGCTATTTGGAACGAAGACAGCGTACACCTTCTCCAACAGAGGCGTGCCTGTGGTTCGGTCGCATGAGGTTCCTGGTAAGTAGGGGTTCTTTCAAACTGAAAAAAAACTAAAAAAGGCTTGTAGAAACTGCAAATGATGGTGTATCTGAGCGTACCTATTTCTTCTTAGATTTTGTATAAGTATGAGCCGCGCGAACATTTTGTCAAAATATTCGAATATATCAATTCTAACTCGAGCGCATATACCTAGGTGCATGATTAAAACGGTATTATTCGAATTATGTACGTTCATATTTCATAAATAACTTTTGACACGTTAAGATTTAAATTAGATAATATGTAAACATCTTAAATATAAACAGCTGACAGTTTAGTTATTCGGAGAAGATTTAGATATTGATCTTTTACAGTGTTCATTACTATAATTTAATAAATAAACTTTGTAAGGAGGATTTCAAGTATTTTTATTAGTAGGTTTGATATAAACTACGAATTATTATTGTATTACTATTTAATTTTTTTATTTCTGGTGACCAGTGTTACTTTCCCATGGTAATAGTAAATAACCTGAAATTTTTATGTAACTCACGTAATTATGTATGTCTAATAAGCTGTCAAAATTTTCAGGCGAGAAACTAGATTTATTCATTGTATTCGTGTAGAGCCTAATAAGTGTAAGGGCTGTCCATCAAACAGCTTTACTTTCCTTACTGAAGACCCACTTTCTAAAATCTGAGGCCCAAAAGCCTCAAGCAATAAGATACTATTATGAGCGACGTGTCAAAAAGAATACCTCACGATGAGTGAAAATAATGGCAATTTGAATCAGACAATTAAATATACCAAAAGAATCAACGAGTACAATTCTCAGGCATTTCAAGTGAAATGTATGTCGCATTTCGTAGTCGCATCTGTACACGAATCTGTGCCATGTCTATCTAATTGTAGAGTTTCCTCTGTAAAATTTACGGGACATAAATAAAAGGTGTAAACCGTGTCAGTACATTGATGATGTAATAACCTGTTTACTTCGCATATTGTGAATTTAAAATCGTTTCATCGCGTGTCATCTTGAATTAACAACTTCACTCTACGAATACTAGTATTTTATTTCCTAACTGATTATGTATCTAATGCCCAGTACTGGTGAAGGTTAATTTGGCGAAGAAAGAGTTATCTTAAGGGTAAGAATCCGACGACTAGCGCCATCTACGACGTCCGTGTGTCCATATTCAGTTTTTGACATACATAGCTTTATACGTTAAACTCGACGGCGTATAGGTACAGAAGGCAGGTCACATAGTGCACCGCTAATGTATTGTTAACTGAACTTTAAATTTAACTCTCCAAGCTAAATTTGAAATTAAGCCGTCCTAAGATTTCCAGATAGGGACAAGATATTGCTGAAATCCTCCAAATCATATTTTGGCAGATCGCAAACACATTGCGTATTAATAAATTGTACGCATACTTATTGAGGGTTGGACGCTTTTAATGAATCTAAAATCATCAAAACTATCTAATAGATCCACGTTAAAATAATTAGTAAGGTTAATTATAGCAACAGTCAACGCTGTCAAATAACGGAAGAGTGTTTTTGATTATCTATATTAATTTATGTTGGAACTATTCCAAACTAATTTATTAATTAAAAAAGGCCCTTAGTACAGTATTCAATCACGTTTAGAGTTTAATAAAATCTTGGACTCAATAGATATAATATAAGTATAATATCTCGTTTTTTTAACGCTAAAACTATTGTTTTAACTATTGTTTGTTGGCCGGCTAATATTTTATTTGCAGTGTATTCGTGGATATCCCTAAATATAAAGGACCGGAACTTTTAAAGCAAAACATGAAAGTTAGCCAAAGTCAATGGCGAGGTACTGCGAATTGCCCCCAATTACCGTGAAAATTTTTAAAATTTAGAGGGAAATAATGACAACAAAAATATAAACTATACTTTTATACTCATTAAAAGTTTTGCAATGTTAAGCATAAATTATAGAAAAATATCTATCACATCGAACAGCCGGATGTGCGGTTAGTATACCTAGTTATTTTAAACACGTTTATCAATTTCCATACTGCATAATGATGACATAACTGGATTGAAAACAAAACGGCATTTTTAGTCTTGACATAGTTTATGCGCGGACGCATCGAAAAGTTTTATTTATTTATATATGTAGGTCTTCATTTTATTAGCAAAAAGGAAATATAAGAGAAACATTTTGGTTATCACTTTTTTGATACCCTATTTGATTCAGTAGTCAGAGCTGTGCATCGCGATTTCTTCTGCGTAGATTAAAACCGTGATGTTGAATTAGATATAAATCTATTAGAAGGAAAATAAGGGAAACTAAAGATAATTACTTCTCCAACGAATTTATTAAACACGCTAAAAACCCTAAAAAAATGTGGAGTCTAATAAATAAATTGGCTAGTAACAAGCTAAATAAAGATTGCACACCTTCCAAACTTATTATAGACACTAAAGAGTTAACTCAAACAACCGATATTTGTGCTGCTTTTAATACATACTTTTCTACCATAGGGCTAAAACTAGCCAATGAAATACCAACACAATTTCACATTAATTTTACACTAGCACTTCCTCAAAGTCTTAACTCTGAACTATCTAACTTTAATCCATGCACAACACTTGAAATCACTAATATAATAAAAACACTAAACACGAATTGTAGTAGTGGAATAAATGGGATCAATACTAAAACAATAAAATGCGTAGTTGATCATATTTCTGAATATCTCTCGATCTGCTTTAATAAGCTGCTGCATAATGGTGAATTTCCGGATTCTCTTAAAAAGGCCAGAGTTGCTCCTATCCATAAATCTGGCCCCAAAACCGAACCCGGCAATTACAGACCAATATCTATTCTACCTACAATATCAAAAATATTAGAAAAGATTATTTACTCACGACTTGACACTTACTTGCAAACTAACAATTTCATTTTTAAACGCCAATATGGTTTTAGATCAAAAAGCAGCACTTTATCAGCCACAGCCGATCTCGTTAGCGACATAAAACAAAATATTGACTCTAAGAAAATGGTGCTGGGTGTCTTTATTGATCTGAAAAAAGCGTTTGACACCGTAAGCCACAACTTATTGCTTAAAAAATTAGAATGCATAGGAATAAAAGATCGTGCACTAAAATTATTCAAATCATATCTATCAAACAGAACCCAGATAGTAAAAATAGGTAATGCTCAAAGTTCAGAAATACCAATAACATGCGGCGTCCCACAAGGATCTATATTAGGTCCATTGTTATTTTTAATATATATTAACAACATTCACGAACTCGGTTTACACGGCCGAATCACTCTCTACGCTGATGACACCTGCTTATTTTACTTTGGTTCAAATATCCAGACTATGGTTGCTCAAGCTCAATCAGACCTAAATGTTCTATCTTCTTGGTTTCAACAAAATCTACTAACAATTAATATTTCAAAAACATCTTATGTAATATTCAAGGCAACAAATAAACTCATTCCTATCTTTCAACCGCTTAAAGTTCAAGACGTTGAAATCAATAACAAAAAATGGGAGAAATATCTGGGTCTTAGAATGGATACAAATTTAAAATGGAACTTTCATATATCACACATAATTACCAAACTAAAATCACTTATAGGCAGATTTTGGTCAATATCTAAATGCATTCCGCAATCTGTACGTCATTTGATCTATAATTGTTTAGTCAAGCCACATTTCATATACCTAATTGAAATATGGGGTACAGCATGCAAAAACAAAATTTCTACAATACAAACACTACAAAATAAATTAATAAAAGCACTATTCAGATACAATTTTTTAACACCTACTAATAAAATCTACCAAGAAACTAAAATTATGACGATTAAACAACTATATGTTTATAGCACCTGTATCCTTATTAAAAAAATTTTAAATAACTCTCTACATAGTAACTTATCATTTAATAAAATCAAATACACCACTACACGCAATATTCGTCGAGCGAGTTTGCTTATCTTGCCAAAGCCGCGCACAAATTATTTAAAGAGATCTATTAGGTATGAGGGTGTGCAATTGTTTAATCGGTTGCCGTCTAAGCTTCGTAACATTAGCGTGATTGATCAGTTCACAAGGGCATTAAAGACACACATCAGAATGGGCCCATTAGACTAGAATTGGGCTAGCTGATGGCGACGTGTATCTCGTTCGTATATATACTTAATATTAAATTTCTCATGTAAATAAAAAAAATAATTTTTGTAATGAGAAATAAAGTTCTTTAAACATTAAACATTAAATGTTATTTAAAAGTTTAAGAAATATAACTATTAGAATAGATAAGTTATTAATTTGGACGTACTCAGAATAAAATTGATTTACTCGGACGTGTTCATTTAAAAAGTTAACTGTTACAAATACGTGAAACAATGGTGTATGCAGAAATGTCCATACGAAGCGATTATTATTCAATTCTTGTTTAATTGCTACGCCTTCTTTGGAAATGACATTACACAACTCGGAAAGGATAGGCGTTTCCGTGTTGGAATGTAAGAAAATTATTTAATCTTTTTGCAACATAGGGCTATTATTTTAATTGCAAAACAAATGAATCCTTCTATTTTTTATTAGAATCGCCTTCGGCCGCGACATTAATTATGGAATCTTGGCAGAAAAATTTTGTGTATGATACACAAATAACGATGTTGAAGAGGTTACCGAAAATCTTGCAAAAATACTCAAAATCCACGCGGTCGAAGCTGCGGGCGGTAGCTTGTAGTTCATAATGGTAGAAAACTAATCTCACAATCTCCTGCTACAAATCGGTACCCATCATACCATGCAACGCACTAACAACGTTATCCGGGCTATATAAATATATAACTTCTTTACCTTAGCCACTAAGGCCCTTTATGTTGGGAAAAGTACACAGGGATATCCCTATTGTGGCCCCTAGCGACAGTACAAATTGAATCGTTAATTATGTATAGGTTATTAGGTTCATTGTTAGGTGATGACAAAACAGATAAGTTTTATACTGTTCAGCTGTTTTAGCAAACATATTACAGCCTTTATTAGATATCGTTGCTATTGAATAATTATTAACTATGAACGTTTATGCGCAAATTATAAGCAACAATATATTAACATTATTTATTGCGTACAATCATTGGTATCGTGACGTTATCCGTATACAATTAGCTAAATTAAAATACAGAGTTTCAGAGGATAAAGCTTTTGTAACATTAAATGATAATTTTATTTCCTTCAATGACTTATTTGGAACTCTGGCGATTCACGGTAGAAAAATCAGTGAAATAGAAAATATAATGTATTCGCCCCCCTTGATTACTCTTAGATGTAAAAATCAACTAACTTTGCCATTTACAAACTGAATCAAAACATGTACAGTAATTTTTTTGGCTTTTAAATGACTTGATAAAGACTTATTTTTTTTTAATTGTATCGTAATTCATTGTTATTGGAATTTTACAGAAGATGATATGATTTATACAAAAACTTTATTAGATGGAATCATCTATAAATTGTGTAATGGCATTCTGTTCTACTAACATTTATCCCTCGTTCTTCTAAATATTTGTAATCCTGCAACTCATAGTAGTAATAAAAATTACCAAACAGTTTTCCTTGACATTTTGGTGTCGTTATAGTTACTTTACGAATAGCTCTCAGTATCCTAGTAGTACAAAAACGTATTGTCTATAATCTCTTTCACTTCACTTAATTAATGACAAAATTTAAAAGTATAAAACGAGGCAATATAAAAATCGATTCAAGTAATGACAAGCGATGTAGAAAGCTGCGCTGGCTGCACAAAGCTTTCATTAAGGGAGGCCGTGAAAGCTTTGCCCAAGGTTCCAGTGTGACCTATATCACAGAATCTATACTTAACATACATGCTGTTATAAAACGGGAGATAACGTTTGTACGTTGAATTTATAGAATGCCTTATACATGGATCTCCTAGTTACGACAAGTATTTTATAAGCGACTGGTTTAGAATAATATTACCATATTTATTTTACGGGAGAATTCTTATAGAATATTTAAAACTAACTTCGATAAGTTTACGAATATAGTTTTACTGAGATTTTTATAGTATTATTTTTAATTTGTCTACTAGACTAGAGCTTTCTTTTAATGGACGAATGAATAAATTTATTGTCTTATTTCTGTAAATAATAATACTGTTTTGACAAGCATAAACAAAAATTACTTTATGTGATAAATGTGTATGTTTTAGGTTACGAAGTTTGGTCAAAGGTTTAGACATTAAAGCGTTTTTATTGAGCTAGGTACACATGATCGCTCACCCTTGTTTACTTTAGGCGATCATTGCCGTTTACTTGGGATAATAAATACTAGTACTACGGTAATTCGTTCAATATATATAAAATGTTACTCATTATGAAATAGGTATATATGAATAAGTAATGTTAATATCAGACAAACTCATTCTTTAAATTTATTTAAGAAGCTTCTTTCTTTTCTCTTTTGCCTCGTAATTAGCTACTTATAAATTAATTATGACTCATTAACTCTTTTTAGATTTTAGTGTAGTTTAGTTTAAGTTAGTATTAGGTTGGGGAAAAAGTCTTTTCGCATTATAGTATGTATGAACATGTAATATAATCTCTTTGGCTATACTATATAAATCTGGCTGGTTTTGTTATCAAGGAAAGATGAGATTTTAAAGAAGATAATTCCAAAATCAAATTAGGATAATGTCTGTTTTTTATTTATTTTTCGTACCGTCAAGATGAGTGAATCGAATGAAGAAATTCGATACATTTTAAAACTTTACTACAAAAAAGGTCAAAATGCAACACAAGCCGCGAAAAAAATTTGCGATGTTAATATGGCCTTAGCGCAGTCTGTGAC